GTTTTCCTCCTGCATGTCATGTCCTCTCACCTCTTCCCTGACTGCTAAATGCACATGAGCTCAGTCATGAGCTCACATCAAGAAACCACACACACACACAAACTTGTTTTTATATCCTTGTGGGGCCCGTCCATTGACTTCCATTCATTTTTTGGTAATTTTATATTCTAACCCTGACCACAAACCTTAAGGCTAACCTCACAGGCACCTTCCTGACCCTAAAACTAACCTAAACTCAATTCATACCTTGGTCTTAAACCCAACCCCCACACCCAAAATCAGCCTCTGAAGTTGTGGGGCCCAGGCTTTGGGCCCCACAACTTCACCCGGACCCCACGAGGCTGCGTTTTCCTTAAAACTGGGCCCCACGACATAGGAAAAACAAGGACACACACACACACACACACACACACACACACACTGACCTTTAACGTAAATAAAATAATCTGCTTTTGCCTAGTTAATACTGTTAGACAAGTTGCTTAAAAGTAGAAACCAATAGCCTTGTAGTGAGAGCCCATTTATTGTTTGATTGTTGTAACCACATATTAATCACTCAATATTACTCTTTTTAATAAAAAAAAAAGTCAGTTAGTTTTATCTGGCCAAAATAAACTGAATGACTTTGTGTGTTTTCTGTGTGTATATGGTGATTGAATTATTTTTGTTTAACAGATATCATCTTGAACCGGGGAGGGAAACTCTTAATTAAAAATCATATTCATGATTTTTAACGAGGGTTATCTCTACAGTACTCAACTCATTTTAACTCCTTAGATCAGGGGTGTCCAAACATTTTGTTATGTGGGAAAAAAAATCATAAAGTCAAAARAACCTGAGGGCCAAAAATATTTTTCCTTTACCTGCTCAACAATAAACTAAGCATTTAATACTTTCATTAAACAAATAAAGCAGTCAGATTGATTGCTGGAAATGAATGCATAGATAAATCTAGATTAATAGATTTGCAGGTTTCTCTTATAATATATTTTTTGCAATTTTCTAGGTTTCAATTGTGGGGAAAATAAACCAATTCAGTCCATTCTGATCAATAAGATCAGGATTTAGGTCAATTAAAAGCAGATTGGAGGGCAGCAAAATCAGCTTTTGAGTAGAAGTCACCAGATCGATGTGGAAAAAGCTATAAGTCTGGTTATTGAAAGACAGATCATTGGTATTGTTGCCAATATTTTTATTGTAAGATTTTAATTTCTGATAAATTTTCCCTAAACGTAAATAGACAGCATGCATATACATCAGACACCTGTGCCGGGAGGATAAATTTGTAAACAAATTAGTTTAATTCTTTAACTGAAGTCAGGAGCCACATAAAAATCAGTTCGGGGGCCACAAATGRCCCCCWGGCCACACTTTGGACATCCCTGCCTTAGATAACAATCTAGCAGCTTGGAAAAAGTGCAGCATGTTATAGACATTTTGTTTTATTTGCACTTCTTTTAGTCTAAAACATCTTTCTTAAACATGTCTATTCCTCAAGGGAATTCTGTTTAAATATATTAGAATTAGAATTAGAATGCCTTTATTGTCATTACACATGTGCATTACGAGATTAGAGMCACTCCCACAGTAGTGGGAGATACACATTAAAAGTAAAATTGAAAAAAGGATAAAATTAGCTAAAATATGCCTATACGTATATCAGCATATATAAATATATATAATAAAGATGCATAAAATACAGTTTTGCATGAAGTATCTAATATAAATAAAGGGCTATTTCTGAGTAATTATAGTACAAATATACACCAATGTTTGTAAATTAATCAGTGAGGATACAGTATGCAAATCACATCAAATAAAGGCAACACATTTAAATTAAAAACTTGATCTTACAACATCCAGTTTATGTCCAGACAAAGAAAGAAAGAAAGAAAGAAAGAAAGAAAGAAAGAAAGAAAGAAAGAAAGAAAGAAAGAAAGAAAGAAAGAAAGAAAGAAAGAAAGAAAGAAAGNGAAAGAAAGAAAGAAAGAAAGAAAGAAAGAAAGAAAGAAAGAAAGAAAGAAAGAAAGAAAGAAAGAGAAATTGAAATTAAAGTTTGGGATGGTCAAAATCTTATTTGAAGCTTATAAATTCTTGTAAGCAATTAAACTGAGCTTTAGGTTAACACAAAGAGCATTAAGAATAATATTAACCAGGTGCTTTAAACTAGTTTATAATAGATGGTCAAGATAAAACACATAAGCAAGATAAAAAAAATGCAGTATTTCATTATCTACAATGTATAGAGATCTTGCTAATGTAATTCAGGGCCAGCTATATTTTGTATAGGGCTAGTCTTATGTTTCTGGATCCATAACCTTAAAATTTCCGGTATCTTTTTGGTTCTGAGACAGTAGACAAATGGGTTTATCAGTGGGGGAAAGAAACTGTAGAAAAGAATCGTGACCATCCGCCTGTCTTCAGTCATTTGAAAATTAGGAATGTACGGTGCAGTGTAGACAAAAAATCGAGGTAAGTAGTAGACAGAAATGATAAATCCCTGAGTGGCACAAGTGGAAAAGGCCTTCATTCTGCCCTGTAGAAGACAACAAATAAAGGTCAACTAATGACAAATATAACAAATTTAATTATTTTGTAATCTAAATGGTGATGGCTTGTTATTTTAATCTGACATTTGTACAAAGTACAAAATATTTCATTATGAATATTTAAAAACATAACATTCACCTGTCCATTGACCATCTGTAAGACTGTAAGAACAATGCAAACATAGGAGAAGATGATAAAGCCTAAAGGAACATAAAGAATAAACATTGCTGAAATATAGGAGACAGAATATGCATAGCTTGTGTCTCCACAAACTAAAGCAAGTAAAGAAGCAGTGTCACAGAAGGCCTGAACAATTTGATTGGGGCCACAATATGACATTTGGGCTGTGAAGAAGGTGCTGATGCCTGGAAAGATGTGAGCCGTGACCCAGCACAAGACCGTCAGGACCGTCATGGTTTGGATTGTCATCACCATGGGGTATCTGAGGAGAGAAGAATGAGAGGAAAAAGAAAGAATGATGTGACTTCTTTCATGTTCCTTAAATTAGAATTATATTTTTCCAAGTGTTGTTTCCACCTGAGAGGAAAACAGATGGCCAGGTATCGGTCCACAGCCATGGTCAGCAAAATCAGAGAGTTTAAACTGCCAAAATAATAGATCATGTGTTTTTGAAAGTGGCATGTGTGAAAGCCAATACTCCCATCGTTCCACCAATAACGAGCAATGAGTTTTGGTAAAGCAACTGTGGTAAAACCTGCAGCAAGAATGAAACATTTTGACACAACACACCTCACACACAGATGATAAAGTATAATTTAGTATATGTTTTTGTTGTGGTAAAAACAACATTTACCAATGTCTGAGAGAGCCAGGCTCACCATGTTGATATACATTGGCTTCTGAAGGTTGGGCTCCAGAGCAAAAACTACAACCAGGACCATGTTGCCCACCACTGTGATCACATAAAGGATGAAGAAGAACCATGCCACTAGATGAAAATACTCCTGCTGGAGACTTGGAAAGCCCACAATAAAAAACTCAGACACTTGCACCTGTGTGCTGTTTTGATCCACTTGAACCATACTGCAGGCAGAGTGAGGCAGATCATCTATCAGCACAGAGGAAGCAAACAACTGAATGTGACACACAAGAACTCTGAGCAGGTCTTACCTCATTCAGTGCTCTTAACACACTGACAGGAACAACAAGACTCAGGCATATTCAAATTATATTGACAGATGAATTGCAGGGTTTGTTGATGCAACAACATTGTCTCAGGGGAATAAAAGTAATTAGCTCTCTGTGGCCAAAGAAACGTTTGACAAAGAAATCCAGTTTTTTATATAGTTGTTTGTGTTGATGATTTTAGTCTTAGTGAGACTAATAATCATAATAAGTTCTGATATTTGCCATGACTTATATTTGGAACTCTGTCACACAAGTACATGTATTTGAACATATCAATCTACAAACTGGTCAGTTTAGGTGGAATGCCAAAAYATTGTCAAAAAGTCTAATATTTTGGCTCATAAGATTAACTGAACTGTTTTTATCTAGTTGGAACTCACATATTTAGTGATAGTGATACTCCACTCTGGAGCCTGTGGTAGTGGTGGGTGNCACACACACACACTGAGTAACTAGTGACAAGAAATACATGAAAATATAAGCATCAGAAATATCAAATTAAACAACCCAACAAATGAGAGAGGAGGATGTTGGCAAAGCCGACAGCCATCATGGACAACCCCCACCACCCTCTGCATGAAACGGGGGGGGGGCTGAGCAGCTCCTTCAGTCAGAGGCTTAAACATCCTCACTGTAGGACGGAGCGCTTCCGTAGGTCATTCATTCCAACTGCTGTTAGACTGTATAACACATTATGATGTAATCAGTCACTTGGACAATTCACCTACACTGCCATCACTAATATGCACCTTCATATACATTCATTTATGTACTGTACTAGGTATTTGTACATTGTTATATTTCATGAGTATAGTATTTTTTGTTTTTCTTTTACTTATCTTTCTTTATTCTATCTCACCCTGTCCTGTTTTGAGCTGTTGTAATGTGCAAATTTCCCCACTGTGGGATCAACAAAGTTTTATCTTATCTTATCTTGTCTTGTCTTGTCTTGTCTTATCTTATCTTAGTGTAGACCATTGTGGTCATACTTTAGTTGATAAAATCCTTAAGTTTGGTGTCGCTGTGGGTTAACAGATCTTCAAGATCAATACAATGCTGCATGGATTTTAATCACTAGACCTCATGGTGCACAAGTTTGGTAATCTGCTTTTAAGTGCTGGCCACTAGAGGGAAATGTGAACCCAGAGATGTCAGGCTGTTCTCAGAAAACAGAGGGAGATGCTGATGTGCAGTAGCTTGCCTGTAGTGTTTTTTGAGGTAGAATTAAGTTTTCCACCTGACAAAGCATGACCTGAAAGTTGCTACATCAGAGCAAAGGAATGTAAACGTCGTGAATTTGGCCCGATGTGGACAGTTACAGTGGTTTTAGCTCAATAAACATAATGAAAACTGTAGCTGAAATCCAACATGTCACATCATATGCATGTAGGTGCAGGGTTGCAGATCCTCAGTGACAGATGTGACTCAAAATGTAGAACATATAAATAAGGGGGCCCACATGAACGCACATACACAGCCCAAGACCCCTGTACATATGTGAGATCAAACACACACATGCAGGTACTGTGTATTTAAGAGGACTATGTTTACTTATTAGTTACTCACGTAATTACTTCATAACAAAAATAAAGGAATATATTATGCTAATGTGTATTGAAACCTTAAATGTGTAAAAGAAACAGTATGATGTAAATCAACCTTTGCTTTCATTTTACTATATTTTTCGGTTAGTTTTATTGTTTTTGGACTTTTTTTTGACAAAAACATCATACAAAAACACATCTGTTCTTAAATGGAATGAAGATGCTAATGTAGATGCATTAAAATGCAATCTTGTGTAACATTCCATGTTCCATATCAACAGTCCACAGTCAATCATCCTATCAGACTTGCCACTCCCTTATTGCAATCTCAGCTCATCCTTTTCACCTGCTTCCACCAGTATTTAAGTTCCACTGCTACAGTCTACTGCCAGATTATTGAACGGTATTCCTTGCACTGAGGCTGCACTGCATTGAGGCGCGTCCCCCAGGTGGTGGATAGGGGATCCCTGCTATTTAGGAGTGTGCCTGGATAAGCTGAAAGGCGAATAGGGTGCCGTGAACCAAAAGCAGCCGGGTAGGTGGGGCTCGTTAGCCTTGACAGGCAACTCGCCTAAGAGAAGTAAACTCTGAATTAAAGCCTGGGCGTTGTCAACACTCATTAGCCGTCCATCCCTGGTGGATGGCAAGTTGAGACAGTTTTAAAACATGAGCGGAAAAGGGACCGGTCCCCAGTACCAAGCAAAAGGGGGTTCTAAAATCTCTGGGGACAGAGCCTGTGGCACCTCGGGTGTGAGTGCCACGGGTGGTCTTAGACCGTGCCTCTGGTCTGTCTGGTGGGGAACCAGGCTGGGAAGGCCAGTACAGTGACTGGAACAACACCTACTCCGGCTTCGGAACCTGATGCTCACGTGATGGACTCTTTACAGCCGAAGGACTTAGAGTCTTGGGACTCRGGGACAGCGAGGGCTTCTGCCTCTGCTGATGCTGGGTCTACCAGGAGTACTCAGCATGAGGGTAGCCCCTTGACTGCACCTCATTGGGGAACGGTCAGGGCTGCACAAAGTTCTGTGGTCTTCAAATGACGAGGACACTGACAAGCTGCTGGGGTCCTCTGATGGAGGAATGGTCAAGGGGGGAGATGTACTCTCGGGAGATCTAGAGGGTCTCTCCCTCCAAGACTCTAAGAAAAAGAGGATAAAGAAGAAGAGGAAAAATAAGAAACCCTCTTCTTGTTGTGTGGCTGGGAAAGGGCAGTCAGCGAATGAGCCTTCTAAAGGGTCAGGAGCTGACCACCCTAAACCCAGAACTTCTAAGAACAGTGCTGGAGAAGGAGCCGGGTCTTCTTTTTGTAAGAGGAAGAAGGCTTCAGCCTCGACTCCAGGGAGTGCAAAGGTCCCCCCCCCAAAAAAAAAAAAAAAACACCGCAACAGGCCTTTAATGGCACTGGTTGCTGGTGGGAACCAGCAGGTTATCATCTTTTTAAATGATGACCCACACAGACCTCTGAAAAAAGAGGAAAGTGATCATGTGCGGGCCAGCCTGGTGGGGCTCATTGACCAGGTGCCGGACGACCATCCAGTGCCACCTTTCAGTGAGTCAGGTCTTGTGCAGGGTACCTTTCATGTGACCTGCGCAGACAAACCAGCTATGGAATGGATCGTACGTGCTGTCTCCCTGATCCCTTGTTGGGAGGGCAATGGATTCTCTGCCAAGAGAGTCCGGGACCTCCCAGTTCTTAAGAGAGTTGGTGTGTTTGTACCTGGGGAACCTGCAGAGCCCCAGATGGTTCTGCGCCGACTCCGGAGACAGAACCCAGGACTGTAGACAGATGTCTGGAGGGTAGTTCATGTTAAGCGGCTGACTACTGGTCAGTTTCTGCTTCTCGGCTTGGACGACATGTCTTTAGATGTCTTAGCAGATCTGGGGAACAGGAACTATGAGCTAAGTTGCGTTGACCTTTAAGGTCAGTGGCAAAGCAATTAGTGAGGCCAAATAGTGAATCCTATCCTACCTCCCAGTCTTTGTGGCTGTGGGGATGATGGAATTCATTCAGATTAACTTGCATCACTGTAAAGATGCCAGTACATTGCTGTGTACTTGCCTTAGCAGGATGCACACAGGCATAGCCTTCATCCAAGGACCTTGAATTGTAAAATCTATGGTAAGACACCTGGGATTTCCTGGGGGCTCACTTTTTTATAATGTGAGCAGCCAAAGGCCCAGAGCAGCAGTAGCCCTGACAAGAGGTGTAAGATACACTGCACTGCCCCACCTAACAACAGGTGATGCTGTAGCAGTGCAGCTGGATATTCAGTCAAATGGTAAATCCAGACAAATTATTGCAGCTTCTGTTTATCTGCCATTTGATTCACAGCAGCCACCTCAATCACAGGAGTTTATGGCAATAGTCGATTATGCTAAAGCTAAGGACTTCTCTATACTTATAGGCTGTGATACCAACTCCCATCATGTGTGCTGGGGAAGCTCTGATATTAATCCCAGAGGCAGATCTCTGTTAGAATACTTGCTGACAGAAGATCTGCTAGTTTTTAATCAGGGCAATGTACATACCTTCCAAACTATTAACAGGAAGGAGGTCRTTGATTTAACAGTCGAGTCTATGGACTTGGTAAACAGCATATGTGACTGGGAAGTGTCCCCAGAGGAAACCATGTCAGACCATCGAYGTATTCAGTTTAAGCTGAAGATGGGGAAAACACACCCAATCACTTACAGAAACCCAAAGGACACCAATTGGAATGTGTTTATTAACAATTTATCTGGGTTGATGGGTAGAAGAATTTCTAGGATTAAAACTGTGCAAGACATAGAGACAGAAGTCACAAACATGGCTGATGCTGTGCAAACTGCCAACAAGTCTTCAACAAGTTGTCCGGAGAAAGTCTGGAGGTTGCCAAAGCAGCCGGCTTGGTGGACTCCAGAGTTGTCTGGTCTCCGTAAGGCAGCAAGAAGTAAATGGCAAAGATACAGATCCAAATCAAGTAAAACCAGGTGGGGACAGTATGTACAGTCTCACAATCACTATAAAAGTGTTCTAAGGGAGTGTAAGAGACTTTCTTGGAGAAAGTTCTGCGAAGAAGTCAAAGGGCCTAGTGCCTCTTCTAAGCTGTACAAGCTTCTTAGAAAGGATCCAGTCAACCAACTATCCTTCGTTGTTCCACCAGAAGGATTGCCAGTCACACAAGAAATTGTGCTTCAGCATCTTCTCCAGGTACATTTTCCGGAGGCAGAAGAGACTGCACAGCCTGACACAGTCACCGCCCTAAATCCAACCGACGACGACTGGAGCAGAGCTGCAAGTATCATTACGAAAATTTAAGTAAAATGGGCAATTAATATGTTTGACCCATTTAAAGCTTGTGGTCCAGATGGTATTTTCCCAGCGCTTCTTCAAAGAGGATTGGATTTACTTCTGGACACATTAACTAGAATATATGTTGCTTGTCTGTCGAACAGTTACGTACCAGTTGGGTGGAGGACAGCAAAAATCGTATTTCTGCCCAAACTGGTAAAGCATTATATAGGGAAGAAAAA